TTTCCGATGAACGAAAGGCTGATTTTTCTTGCTTGCAGCCGGCCGTCTCAATAAGCCCTGAACCAGTTGCAGCCACGGAACGCAGTGATGTCTCTATTGTGGAGGGCCTGACGTCTGAAACGCAGGACCATTCAGAAGGTGATGAACAGAAGAACTGTCAGCCTTCCAAAGTTGAACATACTTTGGTTACATGCGATACCGTAGCAGGTTCTGCTGATCCGCCGCCGCTGCCGACTGTTGCTACGATGGAAACGGGAGAAATCAGGGATTCTTTGTCAGATATAAGCAGTGACAACGACAAAGCAGAACGTGTCTCTTCTGACAATAAATTTTCCCCATCATCGCTGTCTTCCGTGCCTGGTGAGCTGTCCTCTGGTCGAACATCTGCCGGTAATGAGCAGATCATGCGTCAGGTGAAAGCTGCATCGACCTCTTTGCAGACGCACAAGCCAAAACTGATACCATTGGAATTATTACCGAACTGTGAGAGCCTGATGGACCCCCGACTACTGATTCCTTATTCTGGAAATCTCTTTGACAATTTTCCGCTACCTCTCTTTGCAAAGAGAAGTTCTCACTCTAAGTCGAGCTTTCACGTAAGTTCAATAACCAATCCGTTGGCATCCCGAATGTTTCACTCTGACACTGCTTCTGCGGATGCCAGCGGCTGCGTGAGACACTTCGCTGGCGACAGTGTGGCTTCCGCACAGCGTAGTTGCTCTTTGGCCATCCCTGACTTATCGTCTAGCGGTTCCTCGTCAGCAGCATTGCCTGATGCCCCCCTGTCTTGCGATGCCCTTGCTTCTCCGTCGACTTCCTCCAGCTTCCCTTTCAGAGATCTGACTTCTGATTTATCTGCGTTTTCTGACGATCATCCTGCCACCGTACCTCATCGTTTATCGTTAGAGGAACGTATTAAAGCACTGGATGCAAAGTTTCACGCTCTCGATCGTATGATTCAAGGAGCCAAGGAACGACCACAACACCGTCTTTCATCATCCATCGATTACAGTAAATACAAGGTGGTCAGGAAGTCTTGTGCTACTCAGCCATTGGTTAACAACGGCAATTTGCACAGTGAAGGTAAGATTTGAATGCGTTTTTTACTACTGTAAATAACTGTCGGCAGTTTTGTAATTTTTAAATCCAGAGTGCACGCATTGATCAGTCAGCCATTGCCTTATCGTGTTTACCGCACATCTGCAAATTATGGAAAAACCTAAATCGGTATTTGCATATCTCTAAAGAATTATTATCGTGTTAATCTTTCACCAAATATC